AAAAGCAGATGTTAACAAATCACTCGGTTTTCTTCCTTAAAAGCGATGCATAAGCTCAAGGGATCTTGGTCTTGGGAGATGGTGGAGGGATGGGGTCAGAAGCCCCATGCTGAGTGTCTGGCCCTGGATAGACAGACTCTGCAGAAAAGGGTGTTTTGCCCTGGACACAAGGGCTATTGCAATTGTATTTTGTCTGGGTACCAACTGCATGCTTTTCTTCATGGGGGAAAATGGCTTCAGCCACTGTTCAGCGGTTGCCAAAGTCCTGAAATCCTTAATGCTGCAAAGACCAGGCAGCAAAACCCAACAGCTGACCTGCAAGCATGAAATGCAAAGCTCGGCTTTGCAGCTGATCCCTCAGCTGCTACTTAAAAGCCATATTGTTTTGTAAGGCCCAAAATCTCATACTTTTTCCTTACTGGATTAGAAACCGGGAGAAAAGCACATTACGTAAATTCCTAAGTAAAACTGGATATTGCTCGTAATGAGTTCCCGATCCAATGCTGCTATTAACACGCAACAGTGCTCACACTGACTGTACCACCGCCTTCTCCTCACACTGGGGTTGTCCTTTGCTCCTTGTTCAAGCAGTATTTGTAGTAATAGTAAAACAGTAATTGACCTGGCACGCTGAGAGTTACACATGGAGCATCTTCCCCAAGTGCCCCACATCGTGAAGCGCTTCAAAGGCGACACAGTTAGTCTCTGTGATGAGGGATGCTATCTCCTAACAGAGAGCATCCAAAGAGTGGCTCTGAAGAGATGCATTAGTTGCCTCAGGTACAGCAAAAACAATTGCTGTGATAAATCTTGTAAGCTGCCAGAGACCCTTTCTTTGTTCCTCAGGCTCTTGAGTTTCCACTACTTCCTAAAGCAGTAGGGAGGGACAGAGCAGCCTCCCCCATCACAGGAGGGGAAAGCATAAAGCCCAGCACTTCAGAGACCATGTGTGAACATCTCCCCTTCAGCAGACCCCACTAAAGGCAGTCACCAACACCACAAAATGTCAACAGAGCAAGGGTCTGCACCCGTCCTGAGCCCAGTGGGCTGGGGACACTACACAGCCACCCACCTCCTTGGTGTCACCTCCCCAGGTCCCTCAGTTGAAGGAACCTGGAGAAGATGAGCTGCTCTGCTTTTATAGGCTGGAAATGGGCTGCTACTCATCACAGGTGGGATGCAGGGCTAGGCAGAGGTTGCTCTAATTTCTTCTGCAACACTAGCGACAAGTTAAAGGTAAAAAGTCTGAGAAGCCCCACTGGGAGCAGTAAATGGAATTTCCTCAAAGCCTGGGTATTTTGGGACAAACTTTGAGGGGTGGCTGGGGCAGCATCTCCTCTGAGCCCATCCCTCTGCCAGTGCAGATGCAGGCTGGTAGTGAGATGCAGGACCAGGGAGAGGCAGCACCTCATGCTCCTGGGATGTGCAAAGCCATGCCAGACCCAGCAGCTCCTCCGAGCATCCAGGCAGTCTGAGGAGCTACCTGAGCATCACTCTCATACTGCTGTGACAGAGGCACCGTTGTGACCTGTCCCATTGGGAACAGAGCCAGTAAGGGGTCCTGGATCATGCTGGGGCTTCTGTTACCCTCTCCAGCCCAAGCCATTCAATCCTCCTCACGCCTCCACCTCCCTGCCCGGTGCACACCCCACAGGGCTGATGCACACTACCACACATGGAGCATTTCATTACAAACCTCAGAGTGACAAGGAGTGTTAAGCAGATATAAAGGACATCAGTCATTTACCCATCTGGTGAAAGTCTAGTTGCTGGCAGAAAATAGAGAGGATTGTTACGGCAAGATCTACCATATGGCACCATTATGTAGAGCTTTGCAAGTTCTTTCTCTGAGCGTGCGAGCAAGATTTCAGCCTTTGAAGAAATGCTGAATTAACAATACTGCCTGGATACACAGGAGCCTCTTGAAAGAAGCCGTGGCAGATGGCACAGCTTTGTTCTCATGGTACGCAGGCAGCTCATGCAGCCCCAGATACTCCCCCTCGTTGGGGCTGAGCAGCCCCACGGCACAGGGATCCTCCTGATGTGTCCTATGGGAGGACTGACGGCTCCCGAAACTCCTTGAATCTGATGGACACTGCCTGACAGGTATCACACCGCTGCACGAATCCCAGGAGCAAACATTGCCAACCCAAGCGGGTGGGATGCACCGATGTGGATGCAAGGAGAGCAGCACAAAATTGCAAAGCCTCATTCCAGCCAAGGGAGCTGCAAATCAGTAAATCTTCCTGAACTACCCCACTGTTGTCTGCGCCTCCCTGCCAGCATCTGCTCCTCTCTGGGTGGCTGAGCCTGGCTGGAGCCCTGACAGGACAGCAGACAAAGAAAAGCCTTTCAGATGGGGCCGGTGCCCACTTGAGCTACATTTCAACAATACCCCGATGAAAACCCATTCATCCCAGGCGGGGTGAGAGGAAAGGGGAAAGGTTCCTCCAGGAGGAAGCGGTGATCAGTCATTGACCACAGCAACACCATCTGCATCGTCCCTGCAGCCCAGGATGGAGACAGGGCATTTCTTACAGGCTGACTGCTCCTGTTTGTGCCCAGACAAAAAATATCATCCTCTGTTTCCCTGTTGTGCCTCCTGAAAAACAATTGCATGGCCACAGAATAGAACCTGAACTATTTAACTATTCTACTTAACTTTTCTAGTTAAAATCCAAGGAGTCCATCTAGCACAAAGCAGGACATAAAACAGCCTTCAGCTGACCTTGGAGTCACAGCTGCTCCATGTCCCTCGGCAGCTCAGGCCCTCGTCCTCTGCCGCTGGCACAGGACAATTACCGATTTCTCATGCTACGGATGTTTCCTGACTCAAATGAACAGACACAGCTAAAATCACTCAAAGCTCAGAGAATATCTTGCGGGATGGCTCCAAAAAGAAGAGCTTTTGCCCTCTGATGTACACAGCAGGCCGGGATCTGCAGAGCCGGGACCATCCCAGGTTGTTGGTCCTCTGTGGGAGGACTGTCCACCCCACTGACCAAACCCACCACATCCCCAAAGATACCACCCACCCCAGGCCTGAAATCTTCCACACGTGCCACTCTGAGTCCCTCATGGGAACAATTGGGGCAGAAAAATCACTATTACGCTGCAAGAGAGGAGTTGGCCAAGGACCAACCCAAGCTGGCAAAGACTCCAGATCACCTCCAGCCCCTTTGACTTTCCTCAACCCAATCGACCGAGACAACTGAGGACTTTGGAGGGAGCCTTGGTTCCACAGAGCAGGCACAAGACACCCCACCCCAGACAGTCAAGTGTGACAGGATGGGTGGCATCGGGCTCCCACAGGCGTCAAAATCAGCCCAGCACCTCTGAGTGCTTTCTCTGTCTCTCTTCCAAATGTCACACAGTGTGTTTATACAGAAACAGTGGGACACTTTCCAAACCATTTAACTAATGCTGAAATTTAATACCTGACATCAATAGGTTACTGAGAGCAAGAAAGAGCTGTTGTAATGGAAGGCAGGGGGGGTTTGCATCTTCATCCACCCCCAAACGGGAATTGCTCTCTCGTGCCCGCAGGGCAGAGCTTGGCTTTCTCCTCCCTCCTACTCAGCACTGGCTCAGGTTGAGATCTGCCTGATGGGTTTTTTGGGGAGCCAGGGGGTTGCAGCTGCTTGCACAGGAGCATGGTGGGCATCTGCTGCACCCCCCTCCCTAAATTACTTCAATGCCCAAGGAGTCAGCGCAGCTCCTGCTGATGGTGTGCCCTGGAGCAGCAGCTGCCTCTGAGCCTTATTCTCACCTTTGGCTGTGGGAAAAAACCCAAAACCTCCTCAGCACGGAGCAAGGGAAGGAGAGCAGAAGGGCCACACAGCGGTCCCCTGCAGCAAAGCTTCTGCACAAAGCATCCGACTGGATTTGGGGGAGAGGCTTGGAAAATCCTGGGCTGAGAAGTGCTGCAGGCGTGGTGGAGCTCCAGCACATGAGCCTCCACAGATGCCTCCTTCAGCCGGGCTGGTGACACCAAGTTGCAGCGCAACAAGCCCTCATGCCAACTTTGTCTGGGGCATGGGGAGAGTTTTCCATGGGAAAGAATTTCCCCAGGAAAATCTGATTTGGCCAAGTTATCAGTGGAGAAAAACACAGAACAGAGGCAGTTGCTCCACCTGAACAAACCAGAGCCAACGGGCAGCATTCTGCAGGATGGCTGCAAGAAGAGTCCTGCTGCAGGGACATCTCATCCCCACCTTGCTGTGCTGGGTGTCCCAGTTTGCCCTCTTATCCTGGCAATGAAGAAGGACGTCTGACCAAAACCACATCTTACAATACAACCTGGAGCTCTTCTCTATCAAGTGGCCTGGCTCACCAAAACCATGCTGCCTGGCAGCTAATGGGTGCTATGCCATGAGGTGTGACCGACTAGCATCACCACTTCCAGCTACCTTTCCGCATCAAAACATCATAGAGAAATGCTGAACCAACTCCAAGTGGAGCACTTTGGATCCACCCAACGAGCCACACCAAAATGTTTTTGCTTAGAAGAAATTTAAGCTTTTTCAGAGGCTGGCATCTTTATTTTTTTTGATCCATGTCTTTAAGAGTTTTGATACTGAAGGACAGAGAAACAATACTTTGACTCTCCAAATCTCAATTTAGCTCAAAATCAAGGATTTCTGCTGGTTTGAGCGCCTAGCAAGTCAAGTCACTTTGCACCCATAAGGGTAAACCTGGTTTATCAGCTTGGACACCCTTGCATCCCTGAGATGCACAAAGCAAGACCAGCCCCCAAGGCCTGCTCTAAGAAATCAAGGCTTTCTAATGAGAAATCAAGGCTTCTCATGAGAAAGAGAAACCATCTCAAACTGGGAGGAGAAGAGCTCAAGGTTCAGGGCAGAACCGCTCCCAACAGCAGCTCCTGGTGCTCCCTTCACACCAAAGCTTGCCTGAAAACTCTAAACCAAGCCTGGGGAGATTAGAAAGAGGGAAACCAAAAAAAAGAGGGGAGAAAAAAAAATAAAAAGCATGCTCCTTACCACCAGCTCGGTGAACATGATGTCCAGCTCCTCCACCGGCGGCATGGGCAGCGCAGGCTCCATGGTCTGCAGGGCGAAGCTGCTGTCATTGCGCAGCCGGTACGTGATCTCGGGGTGGTCGCTGCTACGAAAGCAGCAGAAGATGAAGGAGATCCCCCGGCTGCTCCTCTTCCTTGGGGCCATGGCCAAAATCCTCTGCGTCCCTCCCTCCTGGGCACTAGATCCTGAGGGGAAGAGGAGAGGAGGTTCAAGCAGCCGCCCCGTAGCGCTGTACTCCCGTCCCGATGCGGGGAGGAGGAATCAAAGCCACCCACGCACTCGGTGCGGAGGGGTAAGAGCGGAGACCATTTACATGCCAAATATTTCTGCTCAGATTTGACATTTACGGCCCTGGCAACCTTGACGACCGCATGAACTAAAAATATGCACTTGCTTTGCCTTGTGCTGAAGCCGGCAGGGGGATGCAGCACCTTTCCTGTGGGGAGAGGAGTCCTGGAACCCCACCACTGCTCCAAATCCCAGTAAACCACCCCCAACCTCCCCGTGCTGCAGCAGCCAGGCCCATCCCCATCTCAATCTGGGCAGGGAGATGGCAAACTTGGGAGGCTGCTGCCAGGATGTGCTGGATGTGCGTGGGGCCACCAGGTACATGGTCACCAGCATAGGTAACTTGGTGCTTGAAGACCTCATGTGGCTCAGGATGCCCCAAGCCACAGATGGCAGCAGAGCTGAGAAAAAAATCCTATCTTCTCCCTCCAGGTCTTAAACACGTCCTAAACATTCACTGGCAACCACCGGTTGGGTGGCTCTTTTCACGGAAAGTTTTACTTGGCTTCAGTTAGATAAACCCTACTTGAAATTCCAAGTAAATATTTACAAGACACAATTTCAGCTGATAAAAATCATACATTGCCAGTAGCTCAGTTTCCTATGTGGTGCTTTTTATTGGGCATCTCTTGCACTGGTGGTCGCTTGGGTTTTGCTGATTTCTGAAACTCAGGTTGGGAGCAAAGCTCAGGGCAGGCAATATATGTCTTGCCCAACCGACAACGGCAAGGACCCAGCAAATACTGCCCCAAAATTGGGACTGTCAAGTCACTGACACAAGAGGAGGGCTACCTACAAGGAATGAGGACGGCTGAGAAACGCCCTTATGAGAAGAATCAACCAGCAAAGTAGAGAAATTTTAAAAAGCCAAAACATTTGTCTTATAAAGCCACACACCCACACATTTTATCTCTGCAAAACAAGACGTCAAGATGTTAAGAGACAGGACAAACAGCCGAGGTTAATACAGAAGGCTGAAATATGGGTGACTCAGATTTATTAACAAAGCTATGAAGAGATCTGGGAAAAAAGGTCAGCATTTGGAGGGGAGTGTTCCATCTCCCCAGAGCCAGCCATTCCCCTCTGAGTATGGATTTACATACCCAAATAAACAGCTGCCATGTCCCACGGACACCCAGCACTGGAGGCAGGTTGGGGACAGACCTGGGGTCGGATCCTGCACCACCGTTTGCACGGCAAACACTGCCCTCCCAAAACAGGGACCTTGCAGAACGGACATCCAGGCGCTAACGACATTGCATTAACAGGGGATCTGACCCTTGAAATCATCTTTGATGGCATGTTTTTAGCACAGGG